GGGTTTTTTTCCGGGGAAGTGCAGGTACGTGAAAATCTGATATAAAGTGCAGTTGGGTAATAATACCCAAGAACTCCCAAGCAACGTTTTTCATTTAATTAATGGTGGAGTCCATTCCAAATTATAGTAAGATATGAAAAATATAAATGAGGCATAGCATCACAGGCAATGACTCATTGACAGGAAGATTACATTTTCAATATTATATACAGTGTTTAGAAAGATATGTCAGCACAGAAAATTGATGATGTAAGTACAGTATAGTTCTATCCTTAATTTTTAAGTAAAATTTTTTTCTGTTACAGTACAGTAGTTTTAATATATACACCATTTTATCAGGTCTATTTTGAAACAGCGCTGCTATCTAAACCTCTCACAACTTTTCACTGGGGACATCCAGCGGCCTAGCCTACAGTAGCCTGAGCAGCTAGCTAGTGGCAAGTAAAGAGGTGCGCACACACTGGTAACTACACAGAGCGAAATGCCTAGGCCTCTGGATGTCCCCAAGTGGTAGTTGCCATGTTATTGGAAACTTTCATTTCAAATTTATAGCGAAAATGGTGTATACTGATAATTTTTATCTAGTATTATTAAGTTAAGAATGCAATTCAGTATTTTGGCTCAAATGTGTTTTTAACTGTATGTTTATTATGAATTACAAAAAAAAATAAAAAAGTTGCCATGTTATTAGAAACTTTCATTTCAAATTTATAGCGAAAATGGTGTATACTGATAATTTTTATCTAGTATTATTAATAAGTTACGAATGCAATTCAGTATTTTGGCTCAAATGTGTTTTTAACTGTATGTTTATTATGAATTACAAAAAAAAAACCAAAAAAAAAAAAAACACACACACAAGGAAGTATTTTTATCCAATAGGTTGTGTCCATCCTCTCCAATTAAGAAGCTTCGATCAGCTCTCAACAGCCGTACAAATCTTCGTGAACTAGCAGAAGCAAGCCCTAAAAAACGTCCAAAATCAGTTCAAGCCAAGAAGCTTCCATCCAGAAATCCACCAACAGCATTGACAGTGCCACACACCCACACTTCGGCATTAACTGAAGTTAATGAGAATAACTTTGTACGACGTCAATCTGCACGACTCATGTCTTGTAAATATGTGCCAAGAAGTATCAGTAAAGATGAGTTAGAGGACCTTTGGAAAAGCTCTGCAATAACACGGTATAAACATATTCATTTACATTGGTATAATTGATAAATTAGGCAAATCCTAGCACAAACATTGCTCAAACCGCAAAAAAAAAGCGCTAACCTCAGTGCAAACAAAACATGTAATGATTTTATGTTTTTTTTGGTGGAAAATAACCCAAAACCCACGTTTTGGGGTAAAAAGTTGAATGTTGAAACTGCAAATTGCAGTGTACGAATCCAGCCTACTCAACTTGTTAATGAAATTGTGTTACAAAATTTTAGAAGTTTGAATTGATAAAAACAAAATCATTGATTTAATGTGGACTTTCTTTGATGCACATTAATATAATATAATAATAATTATATTAATATATCATTGTGTTTTACTTTGTATTAAAGTAAAAATATTTAGTGGCCTAACATTTTAAGTTACCTTTTCGCATATACATGGGATAGTTAAAGTAATGTTACTAACATTGATACTGACATATCTGACTTAGTATCCGTTTTTATAACAGGCTTCAGCGTATCACAGGAGTATCAACAATTGATGATTTTGTGCGTGTTGATGAAATCCAAGGTCGGGATATTATTCAGAATAGCTTGCACATCAATCGTAACAACATGGTCATCATTGAAGACAAGAGCCAAGACCTACCTCACTGGGTGCTATCTGCCATGCGGTGCCTTGCTCACTGTTAGTCAATCAATTCTTCTTTGAAATGTTGTTGTTCCTACTAATGCTGGTTCTTAAAATGTAACCTGAATAGGTTTAAATTGTGGATCACAAATGTCATAATCTGTGTTTGACTTCGGTCATTTTATGTCCGTTGCAATTTCACAACCTACAGCATGTGAATGTATATTATGTATACACAATATCGAAATCATAGGCATTATCCAATACCCATTTCACACTAGCAGAAAATATTACAACTTTTAACAACTACTGTATTAACAAGTTGTAACAAGTTTGATATTCCAAGATTTTTGGTTCGTTTCACACATGCACTTTCAAACCATGAGAAATCTCGGGAAAATTCGGAAGATTATTATGACTAGGCCTAGAGGCCTAGGGTAGTAGTAGTAGGCCTAGGCTAGTTGTAGGTTGTCAGAATTACATATCAACTACTAAAGTAGGCCTGGTACCGAATTAACAAGATTATAATTATTCCATGGTCCTTAGCCTTCGGAGAGTAAAACGAATTCAACTCCTAGCTCGCTTGCTGTAGTCGAGCTGGCGAGAAAGATAGGCCTAGGCTAGCTAGGCGCAGTCGGGCCGCCGGCCGGTAGCTCACCATTCATTGTTGTTAGAGGCAATCAGTGCGACAAGCATCATAATGATTCACTGTCGGCGTATTTTACGAAGCCTCGTGATTGTTTCTACATCAGACATGTGAAATTTAGCGAGATTCCTTTTGATTTTAGGTCTAGGCCTATTAACAAATGGTAGTAATGTTGATACGTTTTCCATCGCTGCCGCCATTCGTTCGAACTAAAAAAAAAAAAAACACAGCCCGCAAAAAGGTCAAAATATGGACATGACGCATGCGCAACAACAACTCGGAAGATTTCGGGAAAAAAACAGGCCTCGCGATGGTATGTTTTTGTTCCGAGATAACTCAGGGGACCCTTGTGAAATCTCGGAAAGTTTACAAGGATTTTGCTTTCACACTCATCCAAACCTGGTTACAACTTGTTACAAGTTGTTAATATTTGCAAAATAGCATCAGTGTGAAATGGGTACAAGATAAAATAGAGTGTTATTATACAAAACAGCTTTATACATGTATATTGGTCCAACACAAAGTAAATTATAAATTATAGGGTCTGGGAAGAATATTTTATTAAGTTTAATTGTTTTTATTGAGCTCGCAGATTCCATATAATATGTTCAAATGCGCAGTGCTGTACTCCTAAAAAAATAAAAATTCATGTTTTTTGAAGTTTAAAAGGAAGAGCATTTCTGCAAAATATCAATCACCAACTGTAACTGAAAAGTAGGGCCTACCGTACTACTACTACTATTAGTATTAATACTACTACTGTACTACTGTATATTAAAATTGTTTTTAAAATACAAATCCTGCTAATAAACTATTGATTTTAGAATCTTTGGAAGCTGTTTTCTCAAAACCTACTTAGCTGATATCCAATGGATTAAATATATGGAATAAATAACCAATCTCCATTAAAGTGAACACTGTTTTAAAGAAAAATTTATGCAGAATCTAAAATGCCAGAGCCAGTCGCATATAGTGCCTTGCCCACGGACGAAAACAAGTCACCAGACTCAGACTTAAAACCTAGACCTCTTGATTTGAATTGCCTCTACAGTACATTTTACTGAATCATTGTATGAGCAAGTTTTTTTTTTTTTTTTTTTTTTTTTTTTTTTTTTTTGGTGAATTTATTTTTTTTTAAAAGTTTTTTTTTT